AGCGTCTCAAGAGACTCCGTCATTTACTTTATGATTGGAGCCGAGCAGGAACGACCAATTCGTTGCGAAATATTAAGACCCTGCAGGCTGAAATTGACCGTCTCAAGCAGATTCACCCCATTAATTGGGATGAGGTCCGGTCCCTTGAGACGGAATTGAGTAGGCAATGGGAGGCGGAAGAAGAGTACTGGCAGCAAAAATCCAGGGTCCGTTGGCTTAAGAAAGGGGATAAGAATTCCTCATATTTCCATACCGTGACAAGGACCCGTCGAAAAAGGAATTTTGTGAGTGGACTTCGAGATGATGCTGGTGTGTGGGTTACGGATGAAAAGGGCAAAGCAGATATTGCTACTAATTTCTATAGTAATCTTTTCACCTCTGAAAACCAGGTACATGATATGCATAATCGGATCCATAATTTGCCTATCTCCAGAAGTGTCACTTCTGACATGAATGAGAAGTTAACAGCGGTCGTTTTACCGGAAGAGGTTCGCAGAACTGTGTTTACTATGGGATCAAAACAAGCCCCGGGGTCTGATGGTTTCACGGGTAAATTTTTTAAAGCCTTCTGGGATATTGTCGGTTCCTCGGTGATTGATGTAGTCTGCTCTTTCTTTACCTCTGGCCGGCTGCTCCGTAGCTTTAACCATACTTGGCTCACTCTCATTCCTAAAGTAGATAATGTGGAGACAATGAGGCAGTTGCGCCCTATAAGTTTATGCCAATTTGTTTATAAAATTATAACCAAGATTTTGGCGGAACGTTTGTCAGTTATCCTGCCTCAGGTGGTCTCGGAAGGGCAGAATGGTTTCATTAAGGATCGTCAGATAATAGATAATATCTTACTCGGGCATGAGCTCATGCATTACTTAAAGACCAAAACTCGAGGAAAGAAAGGGTTCATGGCTCTAAAGGTTGACATGGAAAAGGCCTATGATAGAGTCGAATGGCCCTTTCTTCTTGCTGTTTTGGCTAAAATGGGGTTTAACCCTACCTGGGTAGGATGGATCAAGGAATGTCTCAGTTCTGCATCATTTTCAGTTATGATGAATGGTACTCCGTCGGGATTCTTTTCTCCTTCCAGAGGATTGCGCCAAGGAGATCCGCTGTCCCCCCTCCTTTTTGTGCTGTGCACCGAGGGGTTTGCGGCGCTTCTCCGTCAGGCGATATCTGAAAAAAGGCTGGCAGGGATAAAGGTGGCTCCGCGGGCGCCCAGACTGACTCATCTATTTTTTGCTGATGATTCTTATTTATTTCTGCGAGGTAATCTTCAGGAGTGTGAGAATCTTATTGAGGTCCTCAATGAGTATGAGGAGCTGAGTGGTCAGAAGGTGAATCTTGATAAATCGGCAGTTTGTTTCAGCAAGAATGTGTTGCAGGAGGACCAAGAGTTCCTGGCAGCGATCCTAGGGGTGGGGGCTGTGGGTGTTCATGATAAATATCTAGGCCTCCCGACGCTTATTGCAAGATCTAAGATGGAGACTTTCCGCTTTTTGGAAGCCAAATTGTTGGAGTGGCTCCAAGGGTGGAAACAGAGAACGTTATCGTGGGCAGCCAAGGAAACCCTCATTAAATCTATTGCGCTGGCTTTGCCTTTGCATGTGATGTCCTGTTTCAAGCTCCCGCTTTCCTTATGCCGATTGTTAGACAGGCATGTTGCTCGGTTCTGGTGGGGTGAGAATGAAGGAAACCCCAAAGTGCGGTGGATGTCATGGAGAGACATGTGTAGAAGCAAACATGATGGGGGTATGGGTTTCCGTAGATTTGAGCAGTTTAATCAGGCCCTGTTAGCTAAAATTGGCTGGCGTATTCTCAGTGAGCCTAATTCTTTGCTGGCCCAAGTGTATCGAGGCAAATATTTTCCGACTGGCCATTTCTTATCAGCTAAGGCTCGATCTCGCCCATCTTGGGGTTGGCAGAGTATCTTGTATGGCCGTCAGCTGTTGGAGATGGGTCTTCGTTGGCAGATTGGGAATGGGCGTTCGGCTTCTATGCTCCATTCTACATGGGTCCCTGAGTTCCAGTTCGCGCCCATACGGTGTAATCCTCTGATTTTACCAGAGGGTGGTGATCCAGTGGTTGCGGAGTTAATTTGCCAAGGAGAGGGACGGTGGTGTGAGCAAAAACTTAGTCAGTGGTTCGATCCAGTGACGAGCCGTTTCATTAAAGCTATTCCACTTCCGCAAGAGAATGTTGAGGATAAGCTCATTTGGTTCGATACGGTTGATGGGGAGTTCTCGGTTAAATCAGCCTATCATCTGGCTGTGACTTTGGAGAAAAGACGGGGTCGGTGGAAGGATACGGTGGATTAGATGGATAGGGCTAGTTGGATACGGCTGTGGGAGGCTAAGATTCCGCCAAAGTTGAAGGTATTTGCTTGGCAGATCTTCAATCGGATTTTGCCTACTACTGATGCTCTAATTAGTCGTCGTATTCCAGTCCTGCCTCGGTGCCCAGTTTGTTGGGAAGGTCCCGAAACTTTGGAGCATCTTTTTTTGGATTGTCTGGTTGCGCGTGCCCTCTGGGGAGCGGCGGGGTTAGAGCATTTTGGAGAGGGTCTGCCTCGGCACACTTTTCCTCTTTTCCTTAAAAAGCTGCTGGCTTTAGTTTCTCAACCCTCGCAGTGGATGAAAGTTATTGCAGTCCTCTGGCGGATTTGGAAATCCTGGAACTGGGTGGTGTTTGAAGGGAAGCAATTTGGTATCCCGTCTCTTATGCGACAGTTTTCGCAACAAGTTGAGGAGTGGGAGCGCCTTCCAGGTGAGGAAGGCTTACCAGTGCTGGGGGTAGGGGATCAAGGGCCTCCGAGCTTTGGAACCGTCGAGTTTATTTGTCGGTGGGATGGGGCCACTAGGAAGGGGTCTCATTCGGCGGGGGGTATGGTTCTTTTGGCTCCCTCTGGAGGTGCCCTCAGTGCTAATGGGGTCTCGTTCCCTGCTTTGGATAATCCAGCGGTTGCGGAGCTGTTGGCGTTGCGTGCGGCTATTTTTTGGTGCTTGGAGCAAGGCTTTGCATCAGTTCGGTTTGAAGGGGATGCTAAAGTGATTATTGACAAAATCTGCCGTGGGGATTCGCGGGATAGCAGGATGGGTGCTGTTTTGGAGGAAGTGTTGAGTCTTTTTGGAAGCAATCCTGGTTTTAGTGTTCGTTTCGTAGGTCGGCGTCACAATAGGGTAGCCCATGCTGTGGCTAGAAAAGCCCTTTCTTTGTACCCGACTATGAGTCGTGTTTTTAATTTCCAGGCCTGGCTGCACTCCAGGATGTAACTATTTTTATATCAATATATGATTATCTCTTGTCAAAAAAATAAATATATATTTTGAAAAAAATTATCAAACATGCTCTTCTATTAAAATTTTCATCTCAAAAATCGTTAATCATGATCGAACTATAGTTTGACCGACATAAATGTATAAAACACCCCCTAATAATTTCACGTAAACAAATTTTGTTTCTATTGATAGCCAATACCCCTAATAATTTTTTTTTTATAAGGGTGATATAGGTTTCTCTTTTTGTGATTAAGGTACTACTTAAGGGATTCGAACCTGAGACCTCCAGGTTCTAGACTAGTGGTATTACCACTAGACCAATACCCCTAATAATTTCACTTTAACAAGACTTAGAGAAATAATAGGAGGAGCAAAACTAACATTTTCCCTCCCATTTTGCCGAGGTCGGGTCTTCCAAATCACGGTTCAACCATGATTGATAGTTTTTTTATGAAAATTTTAACAAAAGAACTTATTTGATAATTTTTCAAAGTACAAAAATATGTGTGATGTAAAATATAATAGTAGGGGCATATTTGATAAAGTGTATAATAGAAAGACATTTTATACCTATAGGCTATAACCCTTTAAAATATTTTAGTGGAAACGAAAGGGGAACACAATAAGAAAGCAGGAAAGTAGTAGTATATTATGTTCACTAGTAACTAGTAACTCTAGGGGTACGGGATAAAATTAGTAAGAAAATGCCATCTAAATTTCTAACCCTTAACGAGTAGTTCTAATTCTTTAATTTGTAAACCCTACATTATAAAAGGGTGCATCTAGTATGTTGAATGTAATTCGATGAATAAAAATCATCAATTATTTTTTATAATTAAATTGATCTTATGGTATATGATTTAGAAAATTATTACCTATGTTTTACTTATTAGGATTTAGACTATATAATACATAGTCTACAATTTTGTAAATTCAAGTCTAATATCATTTTCTTATTAAAAGTATGTGGTACCGTCAAATTTACATGTAACTCTCCATACATATATCAATAAAGCCCCACTACTATGCTCATAAGCATCGATACTTTATAAAAAAATGATGTGGTATTAACTCAATTTGTGTTTTTAACATTGCGGTACAAATTCAATTTGTATAGTTGTACTTTTAGCATTATGTTACAAACGGAACCTTTTCATACAATTTTTTTTATAGTACAAACTAATTTCATACGCTAAACATAATTATACAAATTCAAAATGCCTGTACTCATAATAACTCATAAGCATGGTAAAATTCCTTACATCAATAAACTCATATTTATTCATTTCACCGTTTGGACTCACTTACATGGCATATTATTTTCATCCAAATTTTTTTACCATCATGTGATATATGTTACTACTTACTGCTATAGAAAACGCAATCGATTCGCTCATCTATTTTTCTCTCCTTCTAGAACGTGTGAATTTCTTTTTTGTTTTTAGTTTTTACTTTTTACCATCCGACTCTCCTACGAATCTCCCTCCGCGGCTTCGTTATAAATACCTGAGGTTTGAAGGAATTCACTTTCCCTATTCCTCCAAAAATCTCCAAAATCCAGCTTCCAAAAAACAAAAAAAAACCCAAAAAGATCGAATAAAAGCACACAAGAATTCCGCGCTCCCGCTTCTGGTGGAGTACTGACCTGACCGATTCCGTCTCTCTACTCAATCCCACAGAAAACACTCTTCCTTTCACTCTCTTCTTCTTTCCTCCGTCCCGCACCGCCTTTCTTTTCCCTCTCTAGTCCAATCCCTCAGATTCGCGTTTTTCTTCGCTCTTTCCGTACCGCGAATCGATTCCGATGAACGAATCGGAAGAAGATCAGCGACCACCGCCGGCAGCGGCGGCCGAGACGGAGGCGTCGCCGGGAAAGAAGAAGAAGTTGGAGAAGATCGCGTTCTACCGATTGTTCGCGTTCGCAGACAGGCTGGACGCGGCGTTGATGGCGGTCGGGATTCTCGGCGGAATGGGGAACGGAATTTCGCAGCCGCTCATGACGATCATATTCGGGGACCTGATCAATGCGTTCGGCCAGTCCAATCAAGCCGACCTCATCTCCGAAGTTCGCAAGGTATGTATCATTGTAATCCATACGCGGTTCTTCGCAAAATTTTGGTTAACATTTGAATTTCTATATCCGCAGAATTCCAGAATGTAGGTAGCCTCGTTTTCCCGAGAATCTAATTTAAGTAAGGTTTTGGTGTTAATGAAGTTGATTAATTAGTCGCTAATCAGTTGAGGAGTTACCGTATCTGGTGAGTGCAACTCGGCTAATCTGCTACAGATGATTCCACTAACTGATGCGAAATTTTAGTCATTAGTTGGTAAGTCGTAATTCCGCGCACATATGTTTTGTTTGGTACATTTGTAAATAACACTGTTCGTTGGAAATCGTTTTTGAAATACATCTTTTGATGCAATTGACTCATCAAAAAAAAAAAAATTTGTCGTTCAATTGCATGTAATTAAGAATCGATCAGTGGCATCTTACCAAACCACTACAGAAATTCTCACATGTCCTTTCACTCTTTTTTATATTATTGAAAGCAACTATCAGTAGTTCAGTACACAGAATTCAGTCCCCTAGGGTTTTTCGTGTGCGGGAATTAATGAGTTGCTTGTTTTATTGGGTTTCTTATTTCGCGGTATATATCGCATTGGAAACTGTCGAGAAATTCGTTTTGTTTTTTTCCTTGTATTTTTTGGGGGTGTTTTGACTGGAAGGTGGTGTTAATTGAAGGCATTTGGGCCCTGATGAACACGTAATAAACTCTGACACCATTCTAATTGAATGCGGTAACTAATTGCAAAATTGCCGCCTAACAATTAATTCAGCCCGCCCACATCTTTAATTAATTGGGCGGGCAACAGAGAGAGAGACAAAGCAGAGTACGTACTCTTCTTTGATTACAATTTGGTTTTCGTGTGGCTAATTAGGGTATCTTTTTTGCCTTTTTACCAATGTAGGCTGCGCTAAAGATGGTCTACTTGGGTATTGCCACAGGCATAGCCGCATTTCTCCGTGAGTACAACAACTCCATTGACTCTCCTACTTCACGTGCATATCTATCTAATAATATATCACAACCTTTTTCGCCTAGACCATGTAATTAAATTGTTTGAAATAATCTTACCAATTTTTTTTTTTTTGTGTGTGTAAGAGAATACAATAATCCAATTAGTAATGAGTCTAGTTCTAATAGACATTTTGTTGTTGTTGTTGTTAACATACTAGTTTATTATAGGTTGATTACTTATGAAACTAAACAAGATTATTATGTGCATGTACAGAGGTCTCATGTTGGATGGTGACCGGAGAAAGACAATCTGCACGAATACGAAGTTTGTATCTAAAGGCAATTCTGAGGCAGGATATTGGATACTTCGATACTGAAACCAACACCGGAGAAGTGATCGGAAGGATGTCTGGTGACACCGTCACTATTCAAGATGCTATGGGCGAAAAGGTAAATATATTTTTATTATATTACACAGTGGTTGGTATTGATCTAACATTCAAAACAGAGTTTTAGCTGATATTTTGATCACACATTGTACATTGTTGGATCAAACCTTTTTGTGTGAAATTGCTCGCTATTATTATTAAATTCTAATTAGTAACTTCAAAAGAAAGCATAGGGAATTAGGATCTCTGATGTTCACTTATACATATGGGTATACAATTGTTTTTTTCCATGCTTTTATAGAACACTCATGGAACTATTTAGAGCACATACAGTAATAGTCAAGTAGAGTGGCTAATTATACATGCATTCTTGGTTGAGCTTTTAGGTGGTTCACTTCGTTTGAATTTCCAATTTTTAGGTGGATCACTTCGTTTGAATTTCCTGAAACTGGCGATGAAATTGCTTGGTTGTAGGTAGGGAAGTTCACACAACAGATGTCCCAATTCATAAGCGCCTTCATTGTTGCTTTCACCAAGGGGTGGCTTCTCACGTTGTTTCTGCTTCTCACCTTACCTGTACTCGCCGGTGTTGCCGCAGTCGTCTACGTCTTCGTCTCCAAGTCGGCAAGCCGTGGGCAAGTGGCCTACGCCGAAGCTGGAAATGTAGTCGAGCAGACCATCGGAGCCATCCGAACGGTAGCATATACATATAGCAAACACCACTCTGTATCCGCCAATTCCATTTCTCCATTAACTTAACAGCTTAGCCTCATTTGTGTCAACTAGGTGGTCTCATTCACGGGGGAGAAGATTGCAATTGAAAGATACAATGACAAACTCAAAGTCGCTTACGAAGCCACCATGTTCCAAAGCATAGTCTCCGGAGCTGGGTTCGGATCAATGCTGTTTGTCATCTTCTCCTCCTATGGACTCGCCATCTGGGTAGGTGCCAGACTCATCATTGACAGAGGCTACAATGGTGGACAGATTATCAACGTCATCTTTTCAGTTCTCACTGGTGCACTGTAAGCAAGCTGCTGAACAAATCCTTACATTTATACTAACCTCCTCTGTTATAATGCTGCAAGTCTGAATCTGGGGAAACAAAAACATTGCAGGGTTTTGGGACAGACTTCTCCGTCCCTGAACGCTTTTGCAGCAGGGCAGGCGGCTGCTTACAAGATGTTCGAGACGATCAAAAGGGTGCCCAAAATCGATCCATACGATGGCAGTGGGAAGGAATTGGAAGATTTGAAGGGAGACATTGAGCTCAGAGACGTGCATTTCAGGTATCCAGCAAGGCCTGACGTCCAAATCTTCCAAGGGTTCTCCCTAGACATACCAAATGGTGCCACAGTTGCTTTGGTGGGTCAGAGTGGGAGCGGTAAGTCCACCATCATAAGCCTAATCGAGAGATTCTACGACCCAGATTCCGGGGAAGTACTAATCGACGGAGTAAACCTGAAGGAACTAAAGGTGAGTTGGGTACGGAAGCAGATTGGGCTGGTGAGCCAGGAGCCGATTCTGTTTGCTACAAGCATTCGGGAGAACATTGCGTATGGGAAAGAAAATGCCACGGAAGAGGAGATTAGAACGGCGATCGAGCTCGCCAATGCTGCCAAGTTCATCAATACTATGCCACAGGGGCTTCTGACGATGGTAGGCGAGCATGGAACTCAGTTATCAGGTGGGCAGAAACAGAGGATTGCTATTGCCAGGGCTATACTGAAAAACCCCAAGATTCTTCTACTTGATGAAGCGACAAGCGCTTTGGATTCCGAGTCTGAGCGCATTGTTCAAGTTGCATTGGAGAGAGCCATGTCAAATAGAACCACTGTTGTGGTTGCTCATCGCCTCACGACCATCAGGAATGCTGACGCTATTGCAGTCGTCCACAGGGGAAAGATTGTTGAGAAAGGTTATGTTCTTGAAATCCACTACCTTTTATAGCAGTGAACATACTTTTACTCTTTTCAACTTCTATTTTATTAACATCAATATATTTCATCAGGGAGCCATGATGAGTTGATAAGGGATCCTGAGGGCGGTTACTCTCAGCTGATCCGGCTGCAGGAAGGATCTAAGAAACCTGAAGAAGAAGCTCAATCCTCAGGCGAAAGTATACCGGAAAGAGAAGTCGCGGCTTTCAGGTCTGGGAGTGGTAGACGATCGATTTCCAGATCCTTCAGCAGAGATTCATCAGAGAGCAGGCACTCCTTCTCCATATCAGCTATAGCACTGGGGGTTCTGCCGCGGCCCATTGAAATCGAGGAGACTGTTCCTGACGAAGAACAGAGGACTACTCCTGAAGATGATGTTGAAGATGGAAACAAGAAAAAGGAAAAGGAAGTCCCTCTTAGAAGGCTTGCATCGCTCAACAAGCCTGAAATCTCTGTTCTTTTGATTGGAAGCATCGCTGCAGCTGTTCACGGTGTGCTTTTCCCCGTATTTGGGCTTCTGCTCTCCAAGGCCATCAAGATGTTCTTTGAGCCTCCTCACCAGCTTAAAAATGATTCCAGATTCTGGGCGTTGATGTATGTTACGATTGGTGCCATGAACTTCATAGCATTGCCGACTCAGTATTACTTCTTCGCAATGGCTGGTGGCAAGTTGATAGAACGGATTCGTTCCAAAACTTTCGAAAGAGTTGTTCACCAGGAAATCAGCTGGTTCGACGATCCTGCAAACTCCAGGTGTGTTTTTGTTTCTCCCTTTCCTTTCGAGATCTGGAAGAATGAAAAAAATATATATAATATATATATATATATATATATATATATATATATATATATATATATATATATATATATATTGATGTTCTTTGGTGGTGCAGTGGCGCAGTTGGCTCAAGGTTATCAACAGATGCTGCTGCCGTTCGCAGCCTCGTGGGAGATGCTCTTGGCTTACTAGTACAGAACGCCTCAACAATCGTAGCAGCCTTGATTATAGCATTCTCCGCCAACTGGATTCTGGCATTGATAGTGATCGCTTGTTCACCATTGATGATCATCCAAGGTTTAGCACAGGCCAGGTTCATGAAGGGTTTTAGCAAAGATGGAAAGGTAAGCTACCTGAAAATCAATTTAATAACAATACTGTCAAAAGTTACGGGCCTCCTTGAAAGGACTAATCAAAGGCATAATGAAAATATAACGAAATGTGGAAACTGCAGAAAATGTACGAGGAAGCAAGTCAAGTGGCAAACGATGCCGTCGGAGGGATCAGAACAGTGGCCTCCTTCTGTGCAGAGAATAAGGTGATGGATTTGTACCGAGAGAAATGCAAGAGCCCCATCGACAACGCTGTACGCGCTGGGGTTACGAGCGGCTGCGGGTTCGGATTCTCGTTCTTGATGCTGAATTGCATCAACGCACTCATTTTCTACCTAGGAGCAGTCCTCGTCAAGAAAGATAAGGCCACTTTCCAGGACGTTTTCAGGGTAGGAAGAAAACGACGGCTAAAGCATCACACAATCAGTCATCAAGCAAATAAATGACACTTAAGTACTAACCGTTTAATGGCCCCTGTTTATTACTTGCAGGTTTTCTTTGCCCTGACGATTGCTGCAGTTGGGATTTCACAATCCAGTGGCATGGCTCCTGACTCCAGAAAGGCTAAGGATTCCACAGCCTCAATATTCTCGATTCTGGACAGGAAGTCCAAGATTGATTCCAGTGTAGACGAAGGAACCACTCTGCCGAATGTGACTGGAGAAATCCAGCTTCAAAATGTCAGCTTCCACTACCCAATGAGACCGAACGTCCAGATCTTCAAGGACTTGTGCCTCACCATCCCTTCTGGAAAGGTAACACATTCGCACTATGATATAAAAAAAGAAATCCAACTCAATGGGACAGTTAATTTAGGTACTAACTCTGTTTTTCTGGTTCTGCAGACGGTGGCTCTAGTCGGAGAAAGCGGGAGCGGGAAATCAACAGTAATCAGCTTAATAGAGAGATTCTACGACCCCGATTCAGGCACCGTGTTGTTGGACAACGTCGACCTGAAGCAGCTGAAGCTGACATGGCTGAGACAGCAGATGGGTCTAGTCGGACAGGAGCCCATTCTCTTCAACGACACCATCCGAGCAAACATAGCCTACGGGAACCACGAGGGGGCCAGCGAGGAAGAGATCGTGGCGGCGGCCCAGGCTGCCAACGCCAGTACCTTCATCAGCTCGCTGCCGCACGGCTACGACACCAACGTCGGGGAGCGTGGGACGCAGCTGTCCGGCGGGCAGAAACAGAGGATTGCGATAGCTCGGGCGGTGCTGAAGAACCCGAGGGTGCTTCTGCTGGACGAGGCGACGAGCGCCCTGGACGCTGAGTCGGAGCGCGTCGTGCAGGACGCGTTGGACAATGTGATGGTGGACAGGACGACGGTGGTGGTGGCTCACCGGCTGGCGACGATAAAGAATGCGGATGTGATAGCGGTGGTGAAGAATGGGGTGATTGTGGAGAAAGGGAGGCATGAGGAGTTGATGAAGATAAATGGCGGGGCTTATGCGTCCTTGGTTGCGTTGCACATGACGGCCGAGTAGGTTAGCAACGCTAAATGGGTGAGGCGATGATGTAGGTAAAGCTTTTGGTTAGGTTGGGTTAGGAGTTTCTCAATTTCTGAATGGATATAGGTAGATGAAGGAATTAGATCATTGATTGTTGGATTTAGCCTAGACTTGGGAAGGGCTTTTCGTCGGATATATCATATGCTATGCCCTGTAGAATTCAATACCATAGAGGAAAATGAAATAAAAATATGCATTTCATTTGAAAAGTTTTCTTTTTCTCAAAAAATCCTTATCCTTACTTAATATTATAGAGATTCAAAACAAATAGAGTGCCACGTCAGCCCATGGCCAGCTCTCAGGGCCTCCCACCCATCAACGAGTGAATTTTTTTTTTCTTTCTCAAATTTAGTACCTTGGTTCGCTTCGCCTCCCTTCTCGGTTGGCTACTTAACTCATTCCATTCTGTTTTCTTCCTTTGTATACCATACCTCCTGTTTTTGCTTTTGTCCAAGAATCTAATATGATATGAGCTGCCGAAATCAAGTAGTTCTTATTTTCTTCCGCTCTTTCTTCCCAAGTACAGTTGTATCTCAGGTTTTTCAATGGCGGCTGCAAGTGGTACTGGATACGTACAGAAAGCAGCCACCAGCTACGGAGGTGTCAACATTTAATCAGATTCTCACACCTTGAACCTCTTTCTATGTTTCTCCAATCCATCCGACCCATTGTACATCCATCCCGGCGTCACGTTGATTAACGAAGACGACGATGAGGAAGCTCTCGAGTTGTCACCGGCAGCGGGGACGAAATGAGACGGAAGAATCTTGAGTGTGACGAAATAGGGTTGTAGAGGTGGCATACTGGCGTTATGGATTTTTACTGGTGTTGCTCTTGCTGTATACTTAATTTCTGATATGTAGGGGAAGCGTTCTGGTAAAGAAAGGAAAATCCAAGAGGGAAGACAAATTAGTGTTAGTGTTGATTGAGTCTAGCAAGTGAGTTAGGTCTCAATTCACTGATTGAAGCCACTATATATAGAGGACTACATTGGAAACCTGGATTTCTTATACAAGAACAGAAATAGTACGAAGTTGAAGGCAAGGAAAAGAAAACAAAGCTTGATCGAAAAACACACAGCTGTACAATGGAATTGTGTTTATGGGTTTTGTGAACTTATTTGGTTACTGGACTTTCATTTACTCGGTTAAGCTTAGAAGGGCTGAACGAGATTTCCAACAAAGCTCTTAATTTCATTAAACCCAACCAAGCCCAACTGCCCAAGACAATGTAAATTGAACGAGCTCTTGAGATGGTGGACCGGAGAAGCAGGGCGGGATCATCTCCTGCGGTGAATGGATTCCCCTGTTTACTTCCCTTCAAACAGAGTAGCTGGCCGGTTTTGTTGGGTGCTTAAGGGAGAAGATTCAAAATGATTCCTTCTTTTTGTCCCTCATGTCATCCTGTGTATTAATTGTTTTTTTCAACCACGAATAAATCCCTCCGTTTCTTACTTTTATGTTTTCCCAATTCTGGCGTTAATTATCTTTTGTGGTTAATGGCAATTGATTGTCATCTAAGAATAGCATCATGTGCCATTATGGTTAAAGAATTTTGTTTTAATACATTTTCAACAACCAACCCAAGATTCATATTGCCAATTACCAACCACCTCCTATTAAGATTTAAGGCACTAAAAGCTACTAACCTAAAAAAAAATTTATACATCCAATAAAAATTAGTGCTTGAAACAAAGGGTCGGACATCTATAAAGCCATGACCAAATCAATTGAATATTTAGCGTAACAAATATTTGAAATCATACTTGATGAAGTTTTTTTAATAAACCGGCTCGATATAGTTGAGATACATATATTTAATTTGATTTTTGGCACAATTCTCTGTATTATTATGCTAAACAAAATAATATATGTTCTTACAAATATATTCTGCATGAAAGTATGCAAAATAAATATGAGGCACCTCAGAAAAATAACATGAATTTATAATTGTCGCTCAAGTAAATACATCATGTGAACTAATTGTCGTATTTGTGGTTGATTTTGCTAAAACATTTTCAAAATAGAAAAAATGAGTAAAAGGAAGATTCATGATGTAGATGACAATATAGTTTCTTGCTCTTTCAAAATTGCACAATGTTTGTGGGATATAGATCGTGATATTTTCTACTATCCTATACTAACATTTCAACCTTTGAGGGATCGTATTATATTTAAAGAAAATGGTGGTACCAGTATTTTGATACTTCACATGTAATTTAACTTAACTTAATTTAGCATCTTATTTAGTGTCCTTTAAATATATTAACAACTTGGTCAGAATTTTGTGATAAAAATTGATTAATCTCTCATGTGATTTAAACCATACATCATAATTTTAACTATAAATACTTAAATCTTAAATGTATGGTTCTATGTAAAATTCTAAGTAAATAAAAAAAATGTCTACAAAGAGCTAATCAAATCAAATTAAGTTCTTCATCAACAAATGAAAAATTCAAAAGAGTGAAACAGTAGCAAAAACCATCCAAGTGAGATTAACGTAAAAAACACATGTACAATCCATGAAAAATGTGGAAACAAAAGTTAATGATAATGTCTCTCATATTTAACGTGTCATTACAGAAATAGGCTATACATCATGTTTCTACACAAATCATATACTTATAGTAAACATCTTTATATCGTCAGTTCAAACAAAATAGACATATAATGCAAAAGAAAAAAACACTATTACATAAACCAAAAACCAATAAGAAAGAAGATTGTAAAACAACGCAAAATAAACCAACCAAACAAAATGCAACGCCCAACGGGCGGGTAAAAAACTGTCATGTGACAATACTGTATTCGGAATAGGTTACCTTCCGAGAGAACAACCATCATACTTGTGAAAGCTACAAGGATTGGTCCACTCCTCTCTGCTGCAATAATGGAGGCCTGCGACAAAGCATGATCCAGCGATGCATACTTGACCAGTATGGTGTTCCCGCTACAGGATAGGATCAATCACAATAGAGTCATTTTCTAATATATTATCTACCCACTGGTTAGAGAAACTAAACCATCGTAATGATGCAGTAGTAAAGTTGCCAACATAAATTCAATATTAACAAACAATGAAAGTCCTTGTTTCTATTATGTCAATTGTGCTATTAACTCAAGAAATGACAAAGATAGTTAGAAGTGAAAATAAGAACCCACCCACAATCCTCTAGTACTGCAGAGATAGTCGGCATCCTATAAGGGCATGTTTCCTCTTCAGAAACACTCAACAAACGACCAACGACATCTGCGAGTGATAACTCATGATGAGCATCCCAAGGCGATCTGCGTAGGAAAAACAAACCAGTGTAGCAGTGGAACGAACAGCCTGAAGCTCGGTTATCATCCTAAATGACTCGCGGTATACGGTCACCGCCTTTTCAGGGGTGTCGCATTCAGCTGGCAAGATTCCAATAGCGGGAACAACATCGCCAAAACTGCATTGGGGAAAAGGTTAGTCGCGCTTGCAATGCAAGCAAGTAATCGAGAACGAATACAAATATGCATGTTGGAATACGTACTGGACCGTGAGGGCCGCACACTGTGGGACTGCGGGCGACATGACAATGCGAGTTGCGGTAGTATTGGACGCTCCAACATTACCTGTAGAGAAAGCCGCAGTAGTAAAAGTTAGCAGGTAATACAGATTGCAGGAAGGAACCATAAACTAAGGCAAGCGAAAGTGAGGAAGTTTGGAACGGCCTTATCGAAGAATGCACATATAGTCGGGATATGAAATCAAAGAAACAACTATGTGAACTGTAATGAATTTACAGAACAGCTAACTGAGTTTCATAATCACTGGAGAGTATATAATCGTGGAGCCTGGTGAACGGACAGACACAGGCAAGCGTAGAGTTACAGGAAACAGAAAGGTTAATGGAAGTATGAATAACTCCCTGAACTATTAACTTCGAAGCAGGTCCACGGAGGTCTCTATACTTCGAGAGAGGATGAGAAGGTCTGAAGCAAAGACAGACGGTGGTCATGATTTGAGGTTTAAAGTTCCTGGACACAACATTATATTGGAGTCCACTAAAATGCACAGTTCAGGTCAACTGAGGGCCTAGGTTACTGTTGGAAGGAGGGCTAAAAACCGCCAAAACACACACAACGAACCAGCTGTTGCCACTTTCTTCTATTCCCAGGCAGTTTGTGCTAATTATTGGAAGTTGAACTATTGGGGTTCTGTTAAGAGCAAACAAATGAAGAACATTGGAAACTTACCACGCCAAATCGAAAGGCTAAGACTGGTGAATGCAATAATCACTGGTGCGGCCCCATCCAGCTCCATGAGGTGAGCCACGTTCAGCTTTTCGGCAAATTCAGACCTAAGCGTGATTGACAGGGATGCCTTGCTGGAAGTAATAAAGAAGCATCATTTACTAAAAACAATTCAGAAGAGGTAAAGAAGTCGAGACAGAACCCACCGTTCATCTTCAATGACAACCTTTTGGCGTTTGATGGAACGTTCCTGTTTCTGGAAATAGGTGATGGGTGTCACCAATACCAGACGGCCGACAACATCTAAGAAGGGTCGCTATGGTCAGCAGGCTCTACAAAAATCAATGTAAACATAAAACTAAGGATGGGAGACAAACCAACTAAACAGACATGCCTGGAAGCGATGTCTTCGAGGTCCTCGAAGCTGCGGAACTCAAAGCTATCACGACAGAAGGTGGGATCATCTTCAGGCGAGGTTGTGAAGGAAGTATTGGAATTAAAGTACAGGAGGCGGTCATTGGAGCAAGGTGCCCGGCGCCTCCTGGATTCACGTTGAGCAAACTGTTCTACGAAGTAGACCTTTCCAACGTGTAAAATCTCTTGCAAATGGCTGGCCAGTTGCTTCAGCGAAATCCCTTGGACCAGGACACCCTAGGAAAGGAACTGGAAATCAGAATTGGAACTAAACAGTATAACCACCGGCGAGAGGTTAGGTAGGATGGAAGACTCACCAGTTCATCGGTCCACAGTGTCGAGAATTCGAAGAACCCGTCGGGACGGGCCGGATTCCCAGCCTTCCATGTATAGAGAAGGCGCAATTTCAAGGTCGGAGCTTTGTCGTTCCATGTGAGTTTTGAAAGGACGACGTGCTTCATAGAGGTAGACCCGGAGGTTGCGGTGTGGAGGAATCGACCGGTGAGAACAGTTCTCGCGAGAAGTGGGGACGATGCAAAGCGACTGTGGGAG